GGGACAGCAGACGCCGGGTAGCTGCCCCGGCTCCTCCCTGGCTGCCCCGAGGGCCGTCTCCGGGCCAGGCAGCAGGGCCGCCTCAGCCTGGCTGACTGCTCGCAGCGGCCACCGCCCCCTGCTTCCTGCCCCACTTCCTCCCCGGCCCGGGCCAGTGGCAAGAGGCAGGCCCGGGGGAGGCCGCCAGTTGGTCATTAGCTCCTTCCTGGACCAGCTCCAGTCCTCCCGCCTGCCCGCTGCCCGGCCCGGTGCTGGGGCGGAGGCCAGGGGACACCCAGGCTCCTGCCTCTCCCTGGGATTGGGGAAGTCAGCCAGCTGCCAGCCTCCCTGCCAGCCTCAGCCCGCTCTGTTCCTCTCCCACCCGCCGCACACTCACGTGTGCATGCACACGCAGAGGTGCACACGCACTCAACACGCAGACCCAGGCCCACTGAGGATGACTCTTGTGCTGGGGACAGAGAGGGGGTCAGCCTGCAGCTCTCCTTCCCTCCTTTCTGGCTGGATCCAGGCCCCCCTGGTTTTGCAGGTGCGGAGATGGGACTGGGCCTCCTGTTGGCTCCGGCAGGAAGCAGGAACTGATCTGGGGTCACCTGCAGCCCCACAGCCGCGCCCTCAGGTCTGCCCTCACCCCCTTGCTGGTGTACGAGCTCCGGCCCCAGCCCAGCCCTAGGGATCNGAGGCCAGGGGACACCCAGGCTCCTGCCTCTCCCTGGGATTGGGGAAGTCAGCCAGCTGCCAGCCTCCCTGCCAGCCTCAGCCCGCTCTGTTCCTCTCCCACCCGCCGCACACTCACGTGTGCATGCACACGCAGAGGTGCACACGCACTCAACACGCAGACCCAGGCCCACTGAGGATGACTCTTGTGCTGGGGACAGAGAGGGGGTCAGCCTGCAGCTCTCCTTCCCTCCTTTCTGGCTGGATCCAGGCCCCCCTGGTTTTGCAGGTGCGGAGATGGGACTGGGCTTCCTGTTGGCTCCGGCAGGAAGCAGGAACTGATCTGGGGTCACCCGCAGCCCCACAGCCGCGCCCTCAGGTCTGCCCTCACCCCCTTGCTGGTGTACGAGCTCCGGCCCCAGCCTAGCCCTAGGGATCAAGAATGGGAAGGTGACTGTCACCCGTGGCCTGGCAACACCGGGAAGAACCTCTAAGTTAAGTGGAAATGTGCCTATTTACAGACAGGGAAACTGAGGCTCAGTGAGGTCATGTGACATGCCAAGGCCAGTGACAACTGGAAGATCAGCTGGAACCATGTCTTAGGGACACTGAGGCCCAAGACCAGGGTTTCTAACCGTGGCACTGCTGATACCGGAGAGAGGGCTCCTTGTCCAGGGGAGGGGCTGCCGTGTGCACAATTTCAGCAGCATCCCAGCCTCTGCCAACCAGATGCCGACCCAGCTGTGACAAACACATCTCCAGATATTGGTCCCCGGGGGCCATGTCACCTGGGCTGAGGACCATTGCTCTAAGAGAAGCTACTTTTGACTGAGGCCCAGCAGCTCCCACCCATGGCCTCCCACTCCCCCCCACTCCTACCACCTGCCCTTTCTCTGACCAACCCCAGGCAATATGCACTGCCCCCCCCATAGTCCCCCTGCCCATCCCTCCGGCCTCCGAGAGGCCTGAACAAGGTCCAGGAGCCCATCCTGGAGCCCCTCCAGGACACGGCCTCACCGCCCCCTCCTCACGGGCACCTGCAGCTCCGTCCCACCTCCCCTCTGTCTGCTCCAGCGGGCCAGTTCTCTGTCCAGCCCCCATGGCCCCCTTGAAGCCCTGGCGCAGGACCCACTGCCCCGTCCACAGCACTAAAGGCAGGACCCCCTGCACCTTCTCAAACCTTGAGGACTCCTCCTG